ACACTTCCGGACTCTCCACAACAGAATGGGATTGCTGAGCGCCGCATCGGCATTGTCATGGATGTCGCCCGTACGTCCATGGTGCATGCGGCTGCCCCCCATTTTCTGTGGCCGTTCGCGGTTCGGTACGCCGCGCATCAGATCAACCTTCAGCCCAGAGTCTCCCGACCGGAGACCTCCCCAGCTTTGTTGTGGACGGGGAAGGTTGGCGATGCGTCGGCGTTCCGTGTCTGGGGATCTCGGGCGTTTGTCCGCGACTTGTCTGCAGACAAGCTGTCCCCTCGTGCTGCTCCCTGTGTCTTCCTTGGCTTCCCCACGGACGCTCCCGGGTGGCAGTTTTACCACCCCTCCTCTCGTCGTGTTCTGTCCTCCCAGGACGTCACGTTCGACGAGTCAGTCCCCTTCTACCGCCTCTTCCCCTACCGCACTCCTTCCCTCCCCCCTCCGCCGGACTTCCTTGTGCCAGTTCCCCCCCGGGTAGACCCCCTCCCCCCTCAGGTTCCTGCCGCCTCAGGTGTGTCCCAGGTAGACGCAGTTGACCCGGTCGAGGTTACTGGTGACTCTGGTGCTGCTGCGGGTGCTGAGCCTGGGGGTGCTGACTCTTGGGGTGCTGTGCGCGGGGGTGCCGAGCTTGGAGGTGCTGCTCCTGGGGGTGCTGAGCCTGGGGGTGCTGGGCCTGGGAGTACTACTGCGGAGGGTGCTGTGCCTGGGGGTGCTGAGCCGGGGGGTACGGTGCCTGGAGCTGCTGAGCTAGGGGGTGCTGGGTCTGGGGGTGCTGGGTCGGGAGCTGCTGAGCCTAGGGGTACTGAGTCTGGAGCTGCTGAGCCTGGGGGTGCTACGTCTGGAGCTGTTGAGCCTGGGGTTTCTCCTGCTGCTGCGTCTCGCCGGGAGCCCCTCTCTCCACAGGAGCTGCGCGAGTGGTTTGCTCGCCGCTGGAGGCGTGCTGCTGGAGCTGGAGCTTCTTTGACCGTCGAGGGTGCTGGTGCTGCCGGTCCCGGAGCTGCTGGGTCTGCGGGTACTCCTGGAGCAGGAGCTCTGAGGGTGTTGGTGCTGAGACTACTGCTGTATGTCCCGGCGGTGGTTCTGCTACTGGTGCTGCTGGAGGTCCTGCCGCTGGAGGTGTTGGTGGCGCTGGTGCGGTTGCTGAGGGTGCTGGTGCTGTCCCTGCTGAGTCTGGAGCTGCCGCGCGGCCTCGACCGTACTTCGCTCCGCTCCTGTAGCAGGTTCTTGGTCTTTCTCCTCCGGTAGAGTGTTCACAGCCTGTCCAGTCACAGTCACTGTTGGAGCCTTCCTCTCCACTGCCTGCTCCCTCTCCTTACACTGGTCCTACTGGAGGTCTTGTTGAGCGTCGTGAGCCTGCGTCTCGTCCTGCGTCGCCTGTTCGTGCTGCTCGCACTAGTGGTCGCGGTTCGCGTCAGCGTCCTCCTCCTGTCCCTGGCACGCACCGGATGTCTCTGCGTCCGTCCACTGCTCCTCTGCGTGCCCCTTTGCCTTCTCCTCCTGAGTCCTCTCTTCCTGCCCTTGCCGACCCGGAGTCGGACTCTCTTCTTGCTGCCAGTCCTACTGTCACGCGTCTGCTTGCTACTGTCGTCACTGACCCCTCTTTTGAGTCCACTGCTGCGTCTGCTCTTGTCGCTCAGCTCGTCGACTTTGCTGCTCGCTGTCGTCTAGACTACGCTGCTAGTCTTGTTGCTGAGTCTGCGTCTGTCTGTCCTCCGTCGGTCGGGGGTGAGTGTGCTCTTGGCATGGACGTCCTAGAGGACAGGCAGGAGGAGTTACAGTGTCTGGCTGCTGCTTCACCTCATCTTGCGTCTGTACTGCTTGCTCCTGAGGGAGACCCGGATGCACTAGACATCCCGACTCCGCGCTCTTACGCGGAGGCCGTAGAGGGTCCCTACTCGTCTCAGTGGCAGGCAGCTATGGATGCAGAGATGGCTTCCTGGAAGTCCACAGGCACCTACGTTGACGCAGTTCCCCCTCCTGGGGCGAACATCGTCAGTGGCATGTGGATCTTCAGGGTGAAGCGGCCGCCGGGCTCTCCACCTGTCTTCAAGGCGCGGTACGTTGCTCGTGGCTTCAGTCAGCGGCAGGGAGTTGACTACTTTCAGACCTTCTCTCCCACCTCGAAGATGACCACTCTTCGGGTGCTGCTGCACATAGCCGCTCAGCGCGACTACGAGCTTCACTCTCTCGACTTCAGCACTGCGTTCCTGCAGGGTAGCCTGCACGAGGAGATCTGGCTGCGCCGTCCACCTGGCTTCACTGGGACTTTCCCTCTTGGCACCCAGTGGAGCCTCCGACGGCCAGTCTACGGTCTCCGCCAGGCACCGCGTGAGTGGCACGACACACTGAGGACTACGCTTGCGGCTCTTGGGTTTGCTCCTTCTACTGCTGACCCGTCGCTGTTTCTGCGCACCGACACTTCTCTGCCGCCGTTCTACATCCTCGTGTACGTCGACGACTTGGTCTTTGCCACAGCGGACACTGCTGGACTCGCCTACGTGAAGTCCGAGCTGCTGAAGAGACACACGTGCACAGACTTGGGTGAACTGTGCAGCTACCTTGGCTTGCAGATCACTCGGGACAGAGCACGCCGCACCATTACCTTGACTCAGTCACACATGGTGCAGCAGGTCCTTCAGCGCTTCGGCTTCACGTACTCCTCGCCTCAGGCCACTCCTCTGTCTACTCGCCACTCGCTCTCAGCTCTGCCTTCGGATGAGTCCGTAGAGTCGAGTGGCCCGTACCCAGAGCTTGTTGGCTGCCTCATGTACCTGATGACCTGCACACGGCCTGACCTTGCATACCCTCTGAGCATTCTTGCACGCTATGTTGCTCCTGGGAGACACCGACCAGAGCACATGGCTGCAGCGAAGAGGGTATTGCGCTACCTGTGCAGTACGTCAGGCATGGGGCTAGTGCTTGGAGGGCGGAGTCCAGTGGTCCTTACAGGGCACGCAGACGCTTCTTGGGCTGACGACCAGACTACGCAGCGGTCGTCACAGGGTTACACCTTCAGTCTTGGTTCTGGCTCTGTCTCGTGGCGGGCTACTCGTTCGTCTTCGGTTCTCAGCTCCAGTTGTGAGGCTGAGATCTACGCCGGGGCCATGGCTGCACAGGAGCTTCGCTGGCTCACCTACCTGCTGACCGACCTTGGAGAGCCGCCTCGTTCTCCTCCAGTGCTGTACGTAGACAACAAGGCCATGCTGGCCTTGTGTCGAGAGCAGCGTCTGGAGCACAGAACGAAGCACATTGCTCTCCGCTACTTCCTTGCTCGTGAGCTACAGCAGCGTGGACAGTTGCGGCTTGCGTACGTGGCCTCTGAGGCCAACACTGCTGATGTGTTCACCAAGGCACTCGCGTCTTGTGACCATCAGCGCTTCTGCACCCAGCTGGGTCTTGTGCCTGTCTTGCTTCACTTGCTCTCCTCTTGACTTTACTTGTACTGTGACATATATATATACCTGCTCTTGCTTGTCTAGTTTTATATATATATATATGTCTGTACTCCTGCATGTGAACTGGCCTCTGGCTCTGCTCTTGTGCTCGGACTGTGTGGTGACTTTGTGATCCACCCCGAGCTTGCTTTGCTTTGCTTTGCTTGACTGGTCTTGTGACCCCTTGTTCTCCCCCACTTTGCCTATGGGGGTGTGTCAGAACATATCTATAGCTTATACTATTGTGTAGGCTGTAGTGGGGTATCCCATAGGGGGTACAACCCAGTTAGGGTTTCATATTTGTACTGCCTTCTTTCATAGTTCACACATCTCTGTTCACTTGTTTCACATGGTTCTCATCAGGGCCCCCTCCTGGTGGAAACGGGTTTCCACCAGGGCCACACGCGGATGCCTGGTGTGTTGCGACCCCCAGCTAGGAATCGCACGCAAAAGGGAGTCCCCCGCCCCCTCCCAGGTTCCCTAGCGAGATCCGGGCAGCGGAGCAAGTTGGCGGGGTGGTCCCGCGCCAAGCCCGGGCCACGCCAGCGCCTCGCTGCGTGGTCCCAACCCCGGGCCCCCCCGAGCCCAGCCCTGGCTCGCGAAACCCCTCACGAAACCCCTCACGAAACCCATTGCTCTCCAATCCGAGGGCGAGGGCCGAACCCCAGCGCGCCGAAACGGATCCGGCCAATCGGAGCCGTTTCTGAGTGGTCTGTCCCTCGGAGAACCCTCGCGAAGCATTTCGCATGCAAATCCGCGTGTGCGAATGGCAATTCGGGCTGGCCGAAACAGATTCGGCCAATGGGAGCCGGTTTCGGAGCGACGAGCGAATCGACGCGCGTACGAAGCCATCTCCGTGCTGCCCGAAATGGAGCCGGCCAATCGCCGTCATTTACGAGCGTCGGAATGCTCGCAAGACCCTCACGAACAATCGTTCGCGGAAAGCATGTTGAGATTAATTTTTCGGAGTGGAGTGTACGCCATTCGAAAGATCAAACAAAATAATCTCTCTAATGCATCGGGGAAATATTCAATTGCGAGTTTACGTGTAATATAACAGTGTGTAGTGTTAATTCGGGTGACCCGAATTGGTGTACCTGATCGTTACCCCGGACCTCGGCGGTCGCGACGAGGAAAATTCTCTCTCCGCGGGAGTTGGCAGCCCGCTCCGAACGGGGCTCGCGGATGGTGTGCAACGTGGCGGACGTTGGCTGCACAAGCGTGCATGTTGCGAAAGCGGCGCGGGGTGAGAGGCCCGCGCAGTTTGACCGCGAGTGCCATCTCTTGATTCCCTCTCGGCCCTCTCTTAGGTTCTCGGTACGAGCACCTGGTGCTCATTTTCGTTCTCCATCTTCACATCTTGTTTTCTTCTTGCTCGCCCGTTCCACGTAGAGGTCCTCATCGCCTAGTGCTAGCCGAGACTCTGCTTGGCCGCGTTCGCGCTTGGTAGCGTCTAGCTTAGCTCTGATTTTCTGCCGCGAGCACTGTTTCGCGTACCGTTCGTCCTAGATACACCGTACCTTTGGTCGCGCTCTTGCGGTCGTACCAGTAATGAACCGCGAAATGAAGGCGCTTATAGTTGGGTCGAAGGAGGCCGCCTCTTGTCCGGCCATCATCTGTGTTGCGGGAGCCACGGTGGACCTCCCCCCCGAACAGTGGAAGTTGCTCGCTGAGGATAAGCATCCGTTGATGGCCCGTCTGTTCGACTTTGTCACCGGGTGAGATCCATGCGTTCCATTCCCTGACTCCAATATGCACACGTTGTTTACGGTCGCGGTGTTTAGGCTTTTCGTGACTTGTCAGCAATATTTACTAGGGGGCAGTGCAGGCCGCGGCATACCTCCGCTGTGCTTTTAGGTCGCGTTGTTTATGGTTGAGCTTTTCCCCGCCGTGTTTTACACCGTCCCGCACAGCGTGATTGTCCGGAGGTATCAGGAGAAGGAGGTGCATGAGCACGTCCGAATCGTGACGAGCGGTGTGGTCGCGGACATAGTCGCGGGTCGCGATGAAGCGGTCCAAGCCTTTGCCAGTTTGATGGAGTGCAGCCTGGTGGTTTTCTGCATCTAGTCCGAGTGAGTGTTCATTGGGAGTGTTCACTTGTATAGGGAATGCACTCGTTTTCGTGGTTTAACGCAGTCGTCAATGGCACGTTCAGGGACTTGTTCGACAAGAAGCGCTCGAACGCGAGCATGCTCATTCTGCTTCACCCCGACCACCTGTCGCTTGACGGTGATGAGACTTGGAACACGCGGTTCGTTCGCGTTGCTATTCCTACTAGTGGTGCGGAACACGTCACCGCGGCGGAGGCGATTGTAGAGTGACTACCGCGTACTGGTTTATCATCAGTACCACATTAATTTCCGCTCCGAGGCTCATGTCGCTAACCGTGCGTTCGCGTGGATATGTATGTGCTTTTGGGCAGGTGGTTTCAGGGTCGCGTTGACGAGGACTTTGCGCGCGGCTCCATTCAGTGCACCCGCTCCCGCTAGCTTAAGGATCCCAAGTGTCTGTTGGATCTGGTACGTCTATGTTGTGTACGTGTTCTCGATGACCGCGAATAGTTGGAGTGGTGCTAACAAACCCCATGTAATGTTTTACAGGACGCGACACCACTGAAGAGCTCCTGCGGCAATCTCGCTTGTCTGTTCGCGTTCGACAAGATCCCTGCCCAGTTGGACGCGGTCGCTGCCAGTGGATCCGGGCCGCAATTCTCGAGGCCAACCGCGAAGACTCTGAATGCACTGCGGCATGAAGCGTACCAAACCGCCGAAGAGCTTGCGTTCAACTTGAGCGTGGATTTGACGCGACCCAAGCACGCCGGTGAGGTTGAAGGTGCTGAAACGGGGAAGGTGCAGAAAGTGGCAACGGGTGCGCAGGTTGCTGCCCATGGTGTTCTCGCTCTCACAGGTGCCGCTGGTGTTTCGAACCGCGGAGGTGCTCGGGGAGGGACGGTGGTCCATGCTGATGACGAAGGGGCCGAGGATACCGCGACTAAGGGTGCAACCCGCGATTAGGCTGACCGCGCTGTTGCTCCTAAGGGGGAGGAGTCGAGCGAGGAGGAGGCGGAGGCTCTCGTGGTGGCGGCCACGGCATCCAGCAGGCCCACTACATCCGGCAAGAGCATCAAGCACCTCGCGCAGCACTTGGCCCCCGGTGCTGGAAGTGCGGGCCCGAGTAGTGAGGTTGCGGGCAAGAGTCCCGTGACAGGTCCGCGTGATCACACGCCCCTGTCCTCGTTGCCATCGCATAAGCTTTCTGCCGAGATCCTGCAGCTCGAATGCAGGCTTGCAGCGCAGGCTGAAGAGACCGCATGGTTGAAGAAACACCAGGAGTCGGGCGTTGGTGGGGTCGCGGTCGTGGGCTTTGAGGAGCTTGCGTCCGCGCTTGCTAATGCGGTTCGGGTGTTGGAGAAGGAGGCGAGGGCGATCGCGCAGGAAAGAGCGGCCCTGGTCGATACGTGTAACCAGGAGGCGTTGGTGCTGGGGCGAGTGGACGCGAGGCTAGGACAGCTGCAGGGGGTGGTGGCAGACTCCAAGGAAACCGCTCAGAAGAAGCTGACGGACGAGGTTGCGCGGAAGATCGACAACATGTCGATCGCGGTCTCCGCGACAGCAGAGCGGGCAATCACCACCAGCGGGGTCATGAACGCGCTGCACACCCTCATCACGCTCGTTGGAGGAGGCCCCCCGCCGCGCACGGATAATGAAGGAACGGCCGCGACGGAGATTGCCGAGCCCGGGGATGCAGAGCATGGAAAGTGGGCAACGGGTGCGAAGGCGGAGAATCAACGGGGGGCGAAGAGGCAGAGAGGTCCCCAGGCAGCGGCCGCGGTGCGCAATCCGGGCGTGCAGGACATGCTGAAGCAGAAGTGGGGCGCTGCATCGCGAGGTGCAACACCGCCTGGTCAACCGGGTTCGAGCTCGCGCTCCATCCCACCTGGAGAAGCTGCACCCAAACCACCGGGCCCTGCCGGGGCAACCGCGACAGTGACAACTACTGTGGGTCGGGGCAAGGGTAAGGCGGAGGATGGAGAGGCGCCGGCTGCTGCGCATTCGCTGGCCTTGAGGCGTGAGGTCCAGTCCGCAGCGGCTGCTGCGGCAGAGGGCAGGCAGACCACGCTCGCACCTGCTCGTGCTGCAATCACCGCGGGAAATCTGCAGAGCGCACTGGCATCTGCAGGTCCTATCGCGGCCTCGGTCGAGGTCAAGGCGGGGAAACGCGGACGGGTGGCAAGAAGTTGCCCCCTCCACCCGTGTACACGATCGACGAGGACGATGCGGATGAGGAGCTGGAGGGTCTCGTGAGTAGGTGGGTCGAGGCGGGCGACGGAGGAGAGCAGGGTGGGGAGGCTGCGGTCGATGTTTATAGCGGCGGGGAGAGCGCAGACTAGCAAGACGAAGACCCCGTGATCATGGAAGGTGGCACAACGGGAGGACATGGTGACACCGCCCCCAAGCGCAGGGGCTGCGGCATCCGCGCTCCACCCAGGGGCGGGCTCGGATTGGTTTCTGAACCCCATATGGGGGGGAAGAAGCGATGGCTCTGACACGGCGACCGCCAAGACCTGCAGTACAAGACCGCGATCGCGATGTATCCCTACGACGGGAAGGTCGACCTCGGGCTGAACCTGAGCCAGCAGCAGATCCGAGAATGGGTCGCGGACCTGTCCATCGCCGAGGGGTTACATACGGGCCTCTTAATCACCATGCACTACCGCAACCTCGTGGCAAGCAAGGACAGTTGAGCTGTGCCAATCCGCCATCATCTAGTGCGTTCATACGGTTTGGTATGTTATCATTATTTGGCCGCTCCAACCCACTGCGTGGCAGGTGGCAACGCATGTTCGATTCCTATCCCGGGCTAACCAAGCCCGGAATGCACACCACCAACGTAATTACATGGGCCGCGGTGGTAAGCAAGGAGGGTGCAGCAGAATAAGCGGATCTCGGCGATGTGGAGCCGACGGACTACGCGGGAGCGATCACATGCGCCATTGCAATGGTGTGGGAGGTCACTCGCAGTTCTAACGTCACTGCCGCAGCGGATAATGGAAATCTGGCCGCGCGTGTTGCTGGTTGCTATGGAGAGCAAAGCCGTCTCTTCCCCGTAGTATCCGCGTTCGTCATCAATGCGGTGCGGAAGCGCAATCGTCGAGAACATCAGCAGGCTGAGGAAGATGAGCCACAGGTTGTCGCGGACCCGAAGGCGGTCGCCGCCGCGATCATGTCTGGAGTCGTAAACGAGGTCGTTGCAAAGTCTCGCGATCTCAGGAGCATTGAGCTGGCCGCCCGCGAAACGGTGGACGTTATCATCACCTGGTGCGACTGCTCGGTGGCAGGGAAGCAGATGGAGTCTTTGGGTTTGTACCTTTCCCTGCCCAAGGATCGTCTGAGGAAGCGCACTTGAGTGCGTGTAGTATCGCGTAGCATGTGCACAGCTCGTCCGCCATGCTTGAGTTCTACTCGAGGAGGATTGTGCTGGGCTTGCGGATCTGTGTGCATGTAGTATATCGTGTGTGTGTGTGTGTGTGTGTGTGTGTGTGTGTACGTGTGTGTGTGTCTGTATGTGCGCGCGCGCGCGTGAGAACATAGTGTTGACATTTGGAACAATATGTGCTGGAGTTATACTCGCGGTGGATTGTTCTTAATTCTCGTACTTTGTGTGTGAACGTTTGTAGGATTCAGTGGGTGCGTCTGTTTGCGCGTGTGCCATTTTAGTAGTAATCTGCATTCGACTCAGGTATTCCCACACATTATCATTGTACACACTACGACGCGAACAATCTATGTACATTAGGCAACAGCAGCCCGCGATCACCACGGCTGCGATATAAATCAGCACTATTTTCGCGTAAAACAACAACACTCGCGGTCGATTATAGGGACCCATAACATCGCACCCGAAGATGGTGATATCAAGACGAACAACAGCGTGGTCAATCCATTTAATGAAAGTCTGGCATCAGCGCACAGTACTGTTAGAATATGTTGTTTGTGTAGCCTGCAGTGGGGCACTCAATAGTGAGTACAGCCCCTTCGGGATTGCTATTTGTATCCTGCTGCTTACTAGTTCAATCATTCCCTTCTCAATTCTTTTCCTGCACACAACCTAGCTCGTACTTGGCGCCTCATTGCTCTAGTCCTACTATGGCCTAGGCTACTAAGCCTAGGCGGTGCTCCTACTATATCTGACATGGTATCAGAGGGCGGCATGTCTGCTGCCTTCTTGTGTATGGGCCCACCACTTGCTTCCACTGCCCTACCGTCCGCCGCGCGCCCCGTGGTGCGCGGCGGCGAAACTCTAATTTCTGCCCGCCGCGCGCTCGTGGCGCCTAGCGGGTTTCCCTTCCGTGGCGCCCGTCGTGGTGCCCTTGGGGGGGCCTCCGCGGTCCCCTCACGTCGAAGCGCCCGTCGAGGCGCTCTCGGGGACCCACGCAGCCTTCCCTCCCGTCACCCGTCGAGGCGACCTCGGGGACCCGCGCGGCCTCCCCTCTCGTCGCCCGTCCTGGCGACCACGGGGGCCGTGCGCGGCGCCCTCCCCGTCGCCCGTCGTGGCGACTTTGGGGGCCGTGCGCGGCTCTCCCCGTCACCCGTCGTGGCGACTTCGGGGGGCCCGCACGGCGCCCTCCCAGTCGCCAGTTGAGGCGACTTCGGGGGGCCGGCGCGGCGCCCTCCCCGTCGCCCGTCGAGGCGGCTCTGGAGGCCCGTCGCGGCGCCCTCTCTGGTGCCCGTCGTGGCGCCCCGGGGCGGGGGGGGGGGGGGGGGGGGGGGGGCGCGCGGCTCCTTTCTCGTCGCCCCTAGGGGCACCCCTCCCTTCTCCTCCCTCCTCCTCACCTTCACCTGCAGCGGCCGCCCCTGGAGCCGCCCATCTATACAGCAGCAGCTCCTGGAGCTGCCCACAGCTTGCAGCAGCCGTCTGAGGACCCCTGCAGCAGCCCGCGGCCCGCCCGTGCAGTTGTTCGTGATGTCGTCCCTGCACCCCATCCCCCCCCCCCCCGTGCTGCCCATTCTCCCAACCTGCCATGTGTTCCGCGGTGGTTGGGGGGTGGGGTGGCGAGCATGGGGGTGAGCGGTGTGGGTTCTCCCCTCCTCCTTTTTCATCTCCCACTGCTGGAGCTGCTGCTAAGGGGGGTGGAGGTGTGGGAGCTGTGGGGAGTGGAGCTATGGGGGTGATGTGGGAGTGGAGCTAGGGGTGAAACTGGGGGTGTGTGTAAGGGGGTGTGGGACTGTTTGGGGAGGCTGAAAGGAGGCTGCCGTCTAGTCATCCGCAGCACCTGTAGTCCGGGGCGCTATCCTGGTAGCCCAGAGAGCCTGCTGCGCCTGTCGCCCGTGGGTCCGTTGCTCTTGTAGCTCGTCGTAGCCTGTGAGCCAGTTACTCCAGTAGTCCGGGGCGCTGTCCCGGTAGCCACTGTGCCAGCCGCTCCTGTTGCCCGTGTGTCTGCAGCTTCAGCCGTCGTCTCCCATCTTCTCTCCTCTCACAGTCCCTCCTCCTCCTCACTTGCCCGCTGTGACTACCACTAGCTTTGCTCATAATTGTGAACTTTAAACTGTTGCTTCTTGTAATTGTGCTCAGAATGTGTGGTGACATTGTGATCCACCCTGAGCTTGTTCTGCTTTGCTTACTGTGCTGATTACACCTCACTTTGGCTATGGGGGTGTGTCAGAATATGTTGTTTGTGTAGCCTGAAGTGGGGCACTCAATAGTGAGTACAGCCCCTTAGGGTTTGTTATTTGTATCTTGCTGCTTGCTAGTTCAATCATTCCCTTCTCAATTCTTTTCCTGCACACAACCTAGCTCGTACTTGGCGCCTCATTGCTGTAGTCCTACTGTGGCCTAGGCTACTAAGCCTAGGCCGTGCTCCTATTATATCTGACAAGTTTTGGGGCCACGCGTCCGTGAACTCAGACGCGGGAAGAGAGGCATTGATATGACGGTCGCGAATAAGCATCCATTTCACACGCAACTGCACCTCCACCGGAGAACCCTTCTTGAGCTGGCTCAGTTCCAGGTCAACACTCTTCTTCTTTACCGCGATCCCTTCTAATACACCCGACATGCCCACAGCTCCTGACACCAGGTCGAGCTTGTCAAGCACTACCGCGATGTCGTCTCCTTGCTCCACCCTGTGGGCGATGAAGTTCATGAGTCGCTTGACACGGTTTATCGCGTTATGGCCGCCTCCCTCCTCCCCAATGAGCGTGGCCATTCGCGTAACTGCGCCGCGGGGCTGGCCCAGAAGCGACTTTGGACTCTCGCGGATCAGCAGGTGCGTTGTCTTGTACAGCTTCCATCCGTCTGACGGTTTGGTGGTGTTGACCCATGGAAGGACGATCGTGTCCCGAATCGTCTGTTCCCTGGTGGGCGGTGCGGGTATATTCCGCGTCCCCTGCTCGGTGGGAGTTGTGGCATTGGTCGGCGCGGCCGCGACTCCAGGAGTGGTTGCCTGGTTCGGAACTGCGATCGGCCCTGAGCTGCTCATGGTGAGCCGCGATAGCTGGGCCTCCAAATTATTCACGTGCTCGTCCTTTGCGGCCAACTTCCGATCGCGATCATCCAGCAGCCCCTCCAGCTCTTTCACCCGGGTATGAGTCGCGATCAACTCTAGGCCCAGTCTGGTGTTGTCCGCTGGTGAACAAGTCAAATACTTAGTGAGGACGGTCACTTGGTTCTGCGCGTCCATTCTAGTACTCACCTCCTGCATGGACAGAAAGCGACCGCGAACTTGTTATGGTTTGGCATTGACATCACAGCCGAAAGATAACGCGACCATGCAGTACTTACTGCGGGCTGGGTCAGTGTAGGTGAGTTGCGCTGTACTATGGCGAGTTGATTTGCCAATGAGACATCTGCAGCCCACGACGCAAATTCCTCCGTCTGGCAGAGCGGGTTGTTGACCACGTGCGGGTGTCGCGGCTAGTGGATGTAATACATCGCCAGGTCTTGCGCGACCGCCATCCTAGCGTCCCCATCCAGCTCCTTCAGTATGTTTAGCCCTGCGGTGTCCTGCTTCTCCGGCTTCTGCTTTTTCACCATCCTGCGGTTGTAATCTTTGCAATGTAACAATAAAACAACGAGGTAGTGAACGCGGTGCCAGAGTGCTATGTGGGATGCTCGCGGTCGCGTATGCGCGGCCCATACATACCTGTTGCTGTCCTTTGTCCGCGGCGGCCCATGGGAAAATGTGCTTCCTCAGTAGCTCATCCAGCTTATTGCTGACCAGAACAGCTGCGCGACCTAGGTGGTAGTCACCGTCAACCCTGGTCCGCCTTCAGCAGCACGTCTTCCCTCGGAATGGTTGTGAGGTAATGCTTAGTCATCACGTCGATGAAGCACCAACCCCCCAGCCTCGCCAGCTGATCCGAAGGCATTCTGTCCGCGAACGCGTGCTGC